TTATACTAAATTATATATATATATATATATATATATATATATATATATATATAATTTTATATATAAATATAATTATATATACATTAAGTAAATTACACAATACACACACATATTATAGATATGTTATAGATATGCTATAATAGATAGATAGATAGATAGATAGATAGATAGATAGATCTAGCAAATAAATAACCACTAAAATTAGCAAAGACTTGTCCTTAGTACAAAATATGTGATATAATGACAGTCAGAACATATCTGATGTTTAATAAACCACTGTGTGCAGCAGTATTTTGGACCAATGATGTCTTCTCTGCTACCCAGCATGATGCTCGAAAATAGAAACCAAGAGACTGACCAAATGTCCTGTCGGACAGCGCTGACAGAATGAAAACATACTTCCAAATGTGGCTCTTGTAAACATAACTATTTAGGAGCAATCGCATGTCTATAAAAAACCCTCCATTAAAAGCTTCCATTAACCTGATGCTCTGATGCTCATTAGCCTTTGAGGAACGACACACAGCTACAGCATCGCTAACTAAACAACCCTGATTCTTTTATAGCATGCATTTTAAAAGCCTCATAAAAGGACATTAAAAATTCACACTGACCTGCTGTTCTGTACTCAACACTGCTGATCACCAGTAAATAATTTTTTGGGATGTTGGTGAAGCTTAAACGGCAAGCTTCATAAGAACATGGTTTCACTGGTCCATCACTAACCATCACTAACCAGCACGAGCAAACATGTCAGTTCAGCAGGGCTGTTTAATCACCTTCTGATGGGACAGAGAAGAGAGTCTATGTTCAATGTTAACTAACACCTGTTTTTTTCCAGAAGAAACCAACAAAACCGTTTATTCACTCTGTGTGTCCACAGGTGGAACCACTACAAACGCGAGTTTGATATTTGACAACACTTGGAGACAATAAAGGTTTAAAGTTTAGTGCTTGCAACAACAAACAGCTGACAACTATCTAGACCAGATCGGCTCTTTTGCCAAGATGACCAGTGATTGATTTGTAGCCAATGTAAGGTAATGGCTAAGTGTGACAGCTGCTACAAACATGCAGTACATTGAGTGTCGACCAGCAACATTTCTAACATATTGGTATACATTTACTTACATCGTACACTCCTGGTACAAGAGTGCACAAGTGCTTTTCACATTTTTAAATTTTATATATTACTTTAAAGCTGCTTAACTGAAAATAATGCCTTAGTACTAGGGTTGGGGGATATAGCTTAAAAATAATTAAATATTTTTTTTAAATAAAATTTAATATTTTTCAATGTTAATATTAAATTAAAGCATATTATTATGCATAAATTTAAAAAAAATAAATGCAAAAATTCATGCATAAATGCATGCATCAATGACTAAATAAATGCATGCATGCTTAAATGCATGCTTAAATGCATAAATGTGTAAATAAATAAATGCATAAATACATTTATCAATCAAATCAAATCAATCAATCAATCAATCAATCTTTGGAACAAAAAATAAATATTTTTGACTAAAATAACTGTTTAAACTAGTTAAAAATAATTAAGACATGTTTTCCACACTGTTATTCACTAAATAAACACAATGATGAAAGATGCACTAACATGTAGAAAATACATAGTACGCTACATATGTAGATACATATGTTCTGTACATAATATCGACATACAAACAATATTTATCTACATAAATTGTGTACTATACGTGTGTGTGTGTGTGTGTGTACTGTATGCATTGTATTTATGTACATACATGTATGTATGTACATAAAGCCACACTTAGACTTATGTAAAGGCCTTAGATGAGAGTGGCAGCAAAGAAAATTCCCAGATATGGCCCTGTGTTATGACAACCATTATTCAAGACTCACATAAACAAAGCCTCACAGATTTTTGAAAGCACCAGTCGTCTACCTAATGTGCCTCTTATGTTTTGGCTGCTTACTGACAGAAGTGTGTGTAGGAACATCTGGAACGGAGGTTAATCGTGCTCAGCCTATCAGAGAAGACGAAATGTTTCGGGGCCATGCAGCTGCGTTCAGGGCCGACAGAGATCTGTGGAAACTCTGAGACAGCAAACCGCCTGAACACCGCAGGTGAATCTACATGTTCAGTAATCAAACCCATGTTGAAAGAGATGCATTGGTCTACAGTTTGCTCTCACAAACAGTTACGTGGCTAAAACCCCTCTAAAACCATCAAGACAGACCAGGTAATCTCCCTAAACTGGCTTGAGCTGGAAAGTAAGAGTGCTTTGGATAAATGACAGAATGAATTATTAAATGTCATTAGATATTTTAAGAAACTGATTACTGTGCTATGGAAACAAAAATCACATAGCTATCCATCTCATTCATTGATTTGTACCTTCGAGGCATAATTAGAGTTACAACAGGAGAGGAAAGTGCAGTGAAACGCTGACTTTGGATAGTCCCAGCTGGTGTATTTACCTCCCCCAGTTCTTCCAAGACAGGAATGCACCGTATCCCTCGGCCAAGTAAGAGCACTTAGGGTGACGTCCAAGAAAAATATCGACAAAGTCATGTCTCATATCCACATATCCTCACACGAGCCACTTATGCAAACACCTTGGTGTTCCACACACAAACGCGCAGGCAACTGTTTAAACATGAATAAAACATTAATTTATAGGAGCTTCAGAGCGTCATCGTAATCTTTTCCAAAAAGATAATCCGGCTTCTGGCTCGTATCTTCATTCGTTTGTTAGCGTGATTGAACATATTCTGGGATTCTGGAACTGAGGTTCACAATGGCCTACTGACCTACACTTGATATACAACTGCGCTCCACCCTGCAGTTCTGCTGTTGAGAGTTTATTAAATGTACTTTTCTATATTTAGCATTTGCTCTGACTAAATCGAGCCATATTCCCTATGCTATAACAGTGAAAGAAGCAAGGAGAAAGAAGTCATGCTGTACTAGTACAGCAGAGCCATAACCGAGAGCTAAGCTAGTGCTAATTCATGACAGGCCTATTTACCATCATTCACTCTGGCAGCACACAAATTATGAATTATATACATCAAACTTCATGTGAACACCAAATCAGATCATTTTGTTCTAGTATACCATAGCTGTAAACTGAGATTTTTTTCAAGTTGCCCTAAAGTCCTCTTGGGAAATGATAAAAAATGGACACTCTGGGAAATATCTTACTTTTTCTCAATTCTTCACTACCCAACATAGCCTCATGTCTTTGATAGGTGGTGAAAAAGAGAGTAATGGAAATCCAATACGCACAATTGAAAAGTTAATCTATGTACTTCATCATTTGTGTGCTGCTATAAAGAATGATGGGAAATGTAGGTTCACCAAATAGGTCTGGGTTCTCATAAATGGGCTGAATAGGTAGCATTTTCTAGCAAGCTTTAACACCGTTCATCAACAGATAAACTAAACTGTACCATCAACATTCACCATTACAGCTTATCTCGATGACTAGCAATGATACGCCTCCGGCTTGGAAAGAAACCCCCAGAGTTTCTCCACAACTAATTACAACATTGTGGTGCCATTCGTGTGCGCTCATCTCATAAACATGATCATCCTGACATGACTTTGAAAGCAGAATTAGTCTAGACTGAGTGTTTTGACATCACCTGGTTATCTTGTTGCTAGGTAGGGCAAACCCCATTACAAATGGAGGTGTAAATTAGCACATCAGTCAAATTACAGCATGAGCAACTGGCAGCAACTTGAAACATGCTATTATAACCACCTGAAAGTCCAGGAGGACAAAAACAAACTATCACCTTGCTTCTAAATCACTACCTGTCACCAACAAATTATTTACTACTTCTCTTGCCCAGTAGACTCCTGATCAAATATGACTTGCAGAAACTCAGCCAAGTCCATGCTCTCTCTCAAAGAGCTTTTCATTCTGCCCAAGAAAAAGCCATAAATTAGCTTGAACTCTTGTGCATTGTAATTTGGATCAATACTCAAGTAGCGCTTTGCTCTGGCTTGCAGCGACTTGATTATGGAAGTCATTCAGAAACATGAGAAAGATAATCAGACAGTACTTACTGGAGGACCCTGTTCTCCTTTAGGACCAACAAATCCATCGTAGTCAAAGAAATATTCATCTTCTTCAAAACCATAGTCGTATCCGTAACCCTCCGAGTATCCTGCATCGTGCACCCCCTCCTGGACCTGTTCCTCAGATTGGTCCACCAGGTTGTAGCTGCTCTCTTCACGGTACAGGATGGTGCTGTTCACTTTAGGATTGGTCTGGAGTAGCTCTTTGTTGGATTGGTGGGCTCTATCGTCATTCTTCAAGGCCTCTTTCAAACGGCTCTGCTTGACGATGGTGATCAAATCCGGCGTGGCCTGAGTTGCTCTGGGCTTCTTGAGAAGTGGCTGATTCTCAGTGACATTTTCACCGTCAAGGTTCTTGTCTGTTGTGGGGTTGCTCGTGGAAGTCTCTGGAGTGAAGTAGAGGGATTGCACCTTGCTGAATGGTCTTGAAGATGGGTTCATGTGCCTAGGTGTGTTGGAGCGAAACATCGGAGAGCTTGTGGTTGAAAACTGGTCAAAAAGTGCTGTGGGAATAGAGTTGGTGGCCGTAGTGGAGTGATCAGCAAGAGTTGGGATAAATCTCTGAGAGTGTGACTCCGAAAAGCTGCGGTGGAACTTTGGGGAAGGTGAAACGGATGGAAATGGGGACTCTGAGCTCCCTGACAGAGATCGGAAGGTGTCGGACAGTCTGCACTGTTTTTTAACATAGTCACAGTAGTGCACCGCAGCTTGGGCGGAGGGGTAAATATCCAGCTGGCATAATGCTCCTTCAAACTGCACCATCCTGGAGTCCATCCTTCCCACAGAGAGGCGGCCTTCAGAGCTCAACGTCTGTGGACGGGCCAGCGTTTCCTCGCCGTACTGCACAGCCCCGCAGCGTGCATAGAAAGATACGGAGCGTGGCCGGACCCCCACAGAGAAGGAGTGCCACTGTCCATCTTGAACATCGTACTTGAAGTAGATTGATGCTTTCTCTCCCATGTAAACCACTACCCTTCCGGGCAGGAGCTGCAAGCCGAACTGCAGTCTGTCCCTGCCATCACGCACACTAAAAATAAAGGCATTGTTTGCTCGCCAGGAGCTTAAACTCACTATGATAGAAAACTCCTCCTCCATGCCTGCGGGGAGCAGGTCCACCGATGGGGCCTCAATAAGGGCATCCCGTCCGAGGACAACCCCAAAACCAGGAGGCAGGATGGACAGAGATGAAGCAAGGGAGGTGAGGTAAGGTGTCCCGGAAGAGTGTATGTCCCTGCGACCCGAAAGGCCCAACTGATAAATAAGGTCTACACCTTGAGAGAAAGAAAGAGACAATTGTAAGCAACAAGCTAAGCAGGGTTTGGCTAGGTAAACACCACAAGAAAGACATTCGATGCGAGTTTGTTGTGTGGTTGGTTCTGCTAGGGTGTTCAACTTGGTTTTTAGCATGATGCTAGAGTGTCCCAAGTTTGTTCAAACCTCTAAACTAAAGGATGAGCAGTAGAGATTAGCAACTAGTCCACGGCTTTAATTTAAATCGGTTAAATATTTCAATTTGGCTGACAGTCACCATAAAACATTTTCTGACTTAGAAGGCCTCTATAATACAAACAACACAAGCGACTTTGTTAAATATGTGCTTTGACATACATGACATCACAAATTACCCATGAGCCCTTGCATAGCATCTGTGGTCCAGATGAAGAAAGAGAATGAGAGGAAAGTGGGGGTCTGAAACCACACATCTCTTTTCTCTCTTTCTCTTTCTGTGTGGATCCTTCTTTCTTTTTTCTGTCAAATGTTATTAGTCTGTGTGCATCTGAGTGGCCAGAGAGATGAGAAAGAACATTCTGAGGAACTAATCCCTCGTCATATCTGTTTAGTTTAGACCAGGGCCCTTCAATTCCAGTCCTGGGGGGCAGATGTCCTGCAGACTTTAGTTCCAACCCTAATTAAACACACCTGTATGTAATTTGCAAGTATTTCTGAACACTGTAAAAGACTTGTTCCAGGGTACTTGATGGGGTTGGATTTAAACTCTGCAGGGCACCGTCCCTCTGGGACTGGAGTTGAAGAGTCCTGGTTTAGACTCAAATGAAAAACTTATCACACATAATTTCATTTGGATGTTAGATACTTTCTTGTGCCCCAGTTTAATGTGCAGAGACAATTAAGTAAAGCATTCATAAGCTGACTTCCTGAATAGTGCAAATATCCATTCGCACCTTGAATGAGCTATCTGTTAGCTAGGGTTGCACGATTATGACAAAAATCATAATTGTCAATTATTCCCTTGAGACTGTAATTGCGATTATTAATTACGATTATCACAATTTACATAGAATGATGTTTATACCACTGTTTGAAGCAACCGCATGCCATATTTTTAGATGAAAATAAACAAATTGAAAACACTTTTCAACTTTTTATTTTACTTTTTATTGCTTTTCTATAGTATTAAGCCTCAAATGGCATCTATACATTGGATTGGTTTCTTCTTTAAATAAAACAGTAAAAATATTCATGGTATTATATTGTTATACTGTCGGCGCCGATGGCCTCGTGGGCAGCGCACCGACATGTAGTGCCTTTGCGCTTTGGGCGTCCTGAGTTCGAGTCCTGGCTTGTGGACCTTTCCCGATCCCACCCCCTCTCTCTCTCACCCACTTTGCTTCCTGTCGACCTACTGTCCTATCTAAATAAAAGGCATTAAACGCCAAAAATAAATCTTATAATGTTATACTAAAACTAAAATTAAAACAATGGAAAAACCCTTTAAGATAACAAAAACACATCTTAAGCATGTAGAATAATGATTACGTAATTGTGCCATCCGTAAATTAGAAATTTGATTAATTGTGCAGCCCTACTATTAGCATCAAATTTTTTGACCTGTCTAAACAACAAAAGTCACAGACATTTAGGTGGACACTCTAGTGGAGCTTCAGTGAATGCATATTACTTACTGATATTTTTAGGACAAATTAGTTTTATCTAAATGCTTGCTCCTAACCCAGACTTACCCACTTACACCCATCAACTGATAAGGCATGCTCTGGTTTGGGGTGGACTGATCTAAATGGAATTTGGACTTAAAGATGAAGTTTGCCATTTTTGCACCAGAGTCACCAAACAGAACTGCATGCTTTACATTTTTTCAAGACCAACAGATAGTCTCATGCATTAGTTGAGTCCGTGGTGCTGAGTTGGGATGCTCATGCAAACGTAACAGTGTTTAATAGCGCCACAGAGTCTCAGCCTTACACTTTTCAGGGAAATCAACCTACAAATGGTTTACCTACTGTCTCCACATATTAAGGTAGGATAGAGGCATTTTAACATCAAAGAAATTACACACTTTGTTAAATACAACACACGACTGGGTTAGCAGTAGTATTTGTAAAATGCTTACTTTTAACCCAGACTTTCCCACTTGTACCCATTAATTGATAAGGTAAGCCCTTGTTCTACAGAATTTGGACTTACAAGTAACGTTTGCAATTTCTGTACCACCAGTGTCACCAAACAGAATTGCACATGTTCAACTTCAAATGTTTTCAAGACCAACAAACTTGGTCCATGTTGCTCTCTCGGGCTGGTTAGGATGCTCATGCAAACCTAACAATGTTCAATACAGCCATACTTTTCAGGGGAATTAACCTACAAATGGTTTACCTGCTGTTTCTGTATATTAAGCTAGAACAGAAGCATTTTAACAATGAGGAAATTGCACACTCCTACTTTAAATACATCATAAAGTTATACAGGCCTGAGGGCAGCAGAGTAGATCCGTAAGGAACTACAGCAAGTCTGTTTTTGAGATCAAGTGAAAATGAAAAGTGAAGTAAGGCCAAGTATAGTGTCCCATACTTGCAATTTGTGCTCTACATTTAACCCATCCAAGTGTACACACACAGCAGTGAGTAGTGAACCAATACACACACACACACACACCGTGAACACACACCCAGAGCAGCCATTTTTTGCTGCGGCACCCGGGGAGCAGTTGGGGGTTCGGTTCTTGCTCAAGGGTCTTGAGGATGGTATTGAGCGTTGTACATTCACTCCCCCCACCTACAATCCCTGCCGGTACCGAGACTCAAACCCGTGACCTTTGAGTTACAAGTCCGACTCTCTCTAACCATTAGGCCACCAACAAGTGAGCAGGAAAGCTTGTCCTTCTGTCAGCAAACAGACAAGCTTTTACACGGTTTGAGAATGTCCATGGAGAAATCTCTGAGGAAATGTGCTGGAAACAGGCACTTTCATTACTAATCCAGACTTTCTGCTTTTCGTTTAAACAGATCTCTTCATCCTCCACTTAAACAGATGACAAGCGAAAGACAACAACGGTGGAGACACAAAGTTACCGTTGATCCCTCTCGTTCTTTCTGTTCTGGAGTTACAAGTTCAGCGCAGGCTGTTACTGTGCCTCGAAACTCTTTGTTGCTTGATTCACCGTGGTTTTAAAAACAGACGGGATCTTAAACAACCATGAAAAAAAAGAGAATTAGACTTCAAAGCTCAACCAGCCATGTTTTTGACTTGTAGCACATGGATGACCCTGTGAACTTTCACCTCTTTGGCAGTTCAAATTGAACACTGAACTCTGTCGTGCTATGGTCATCTGGAGTGCCAAACAAATTATGTTAAGCTGCGGATAAATATTAACCATACTAAAGATTAGTCTTTCAGACAGTTGGTGGATGATAAAAAAGACTTACACTGACAAAATGTCATAGACACTTTAGGTTTGATTTTTTTTTTTTGCATTGAACCAGTAAGAAACCACCTAGAAACCACCCAGAACACCCTTGCAACCAAACAGCAATGTGTTACAACCCACTTAGCAATATAGCAATGCCTTGGCAACCACCGACAACACCCTAGCAACAACATGCACGAGTAAGCACCACGAGTGCACTGCATTGTGGGATACACTTTTGCTCAGTTACATACTGCACATTTTGATAAATCCAGAATGTTGATAAACAAACTGATACTGGTAGCCATTGACTTCCATATTATTTTTTCCATACTATGGAAGTCAATGGCTACCAGCATTCTTCAAAATATCTTCTTTGTGATTTGTGAAAAAAACATCAATAAAAGCATTACTTATAGCGCACATCCCATCCAATAATCGCAATAAGCTTTGCGCTTTGTTACTTTTGAAATGAAACAAAGTCTCAGCTTTCAAATTCTGTCAATTTTAAGAGTTTTGATGCTCTTTAATTTGGCATCATTTTATCATTAAAGTTTCTTACATGCATTTTAACTGTTTTTATACAACTCAGTTTTGTTTTGAGTGTTGATTATTAAACACATTTGATTAATTAACTGATTTAGGTTTTCGCCTAAATTACAAGTTTTGGTTTCTGTGTTGCTTAATTTTATCAGTTCATGCATTCCCTGGGAATCGAACCCATGGCCTCAGCATTGCTAGCGTCGTGCTCTTCTGTTTGAGCTACAGGAATGTACAGTACAGTAAACAATCTTCTGTAAGCTGCCAACTCGCAGTGTAATGATAGTCGAGCAGTTTTCTAATGATATACTTTAAGGCTTCAGGATGTTGTGCAATCATAATTCATGTGTGCTTGTGTAACATCTTTACTGCAGGCTGTCCTCTATTGTTTGAAGGTGTCTTTTCTTCCTAATGTCAGCTTGAACGGCAGCCAGGCAGTGTTTTGTATCTCAGCGAGTGTTTGATCTTTATATCATCTTTGTTACAGTGATGATTTCAGATAAAGATCAAATGCTGTGTAAACTGCAAGACTATGCTATCACAACCTCCATCCCCTCCATCTAGACCAGCGGCAGCTGACGTTAATGCAGCACTGAATGCTAGTGGTCTAAACGTCTTTTCTTTTTTCTTTTCTTTTTGAGAAAATTCATACTTTTAGAAATTAATTTCTAAAAAATTAATTAGAAATTAATGTTTTTATTCAGCAAGGATGCATTAAATTTATTAAAAGTGGCAGTAAAGACATTTATAATGTTACAAAAGATTTCTATTTCAAATAAATGCTGTTCTTCTGAACTTTCTATTCATCTGTGAATCCTGAAAAACTAAATTGATCACAGTTTTCACAAAAATATTCGTCAGCACAACTGTGTTCAACACTGATAATAATCAGAAATGTTTCTTGAGCAGCAAATCAGCATATTAGAATGATTTCTGAAGATCATGTGACACTGAAGACTGGAGTAATGATGCTGAAAATACAGCTGCGCATCACAGAAATAAATGACAGTTTAACAGATATTCACATAGAAAACAGCTGTTTTAGATTTGTAATAATATTTCACAATAATATTGTTTTTACTGTATTTTTAATCAAACAAATGCAGCCTTGATGAACATAAAAACAAAAAATATATTTATTTTGTTATATAATCTATAATCTGTATAGTTTTATTCGATCTATCTATATCTATCTATCTATCTATCTATAAATACACACAAGTATTTAAAACATAGCAAAATATTTTAGCAATAAGCAATTTATTTAAAGTATTATATTTATATAATTACATATATATCTATATACATCTATCTATATCTATATCTATATCTATATATATATATATATATTTCTAACTACATTTAATATACACAAAATGCCAAAAATCCTTTGAATTGCAACACATTTCTGAATCAGAGTCTTGAATCGAATCACTGAAACTGATTCAGGAGCTTGTCAGCCTGTCACAATGTTATATTTGCTGACATTTAAATCAGCGATGCTATTAAAACATATCTGTCTGAACAAGAACGGATTGTGAAATTAGTATAATGACAAGCTCTTCTTTTGAAAACTTAACAACCTAATAAAAAAGAAATCCCAATTACTGTATGTACTGTATACTGTATATATTTAGTTCAAAATCATTCTAAATATACTATATATAAATTCGCCATTTATCACCCAGTCTGAATCACTATGGTTTCCTCTCAGTATCTCTCTTCCTGCCCTCAGAGTTGATCTTCTCCATCTCACACAAATAAATGCAAATGCCAAAATCCTCCCACCAGCTTAGATCAGGTTTCCATCGGAAGAAAAGCAGCTCACCGCAGGCTAACCTGCTTGACCTGTGAGTCCATCTAAACCAGCCTGAACCTTCCTCACTTCCACACTGTCTCTCTGTATCTGTACAGTCTTCAGCGAGAGAGAAGAGCCCTGCAGAAATCTGGAAATGACCCATTAAGATGAAAATATGACCGAAAGTGAGAGATAGAGAGTCACTCGGAGCGCAAGAACAGACACGCAGACGATTCAGTGAAGAGAGAGCAGCACGCTCACAAGCACATGCAATCTGACACAAATTCTTTCTGTTTGAACGCTTGCATTTCCTTCCCTTCCAGCTTCCCAATGTCCTTCCTTCGCTTTTGGTTTCCTTCTGAATTTACTCTAGAGTAAAGTTCATGGAAGCCGGTTTCCGCCATGGAAAAAAAAAAAAAAGAGGTAATTACAACTTTTTATCTCGCAATTCTGACTTTTCCCCCTTGCAATTCTTTGTTTATATCTTAGAATTCTGACTTTTTCCAATAAAATTACAAGAAAAATGTCAGAATTGCGAGTTGCAAGATATAAACTCAGAACTGTGAGATATAAACTCAAAATTGAGAGAAATAAACTCATAAATTCAACATTGCGAGATATAGACTCAGCATTCCAAGATGCAAACTCAGAATTCAGAGGAAAAGAGTCAGATTTGCGAGATTTAAACTTAGAATTATGAGACTTTAACTCAGAATTACGGGAAAGAGTCAGAATTGCAAAATGTAAACGCTGAATTATGAGGAAAAAGTCAGAATTGTAAGATGTAAACTCAGAATTACAAGGAAAAAGTCAGAATTGTGAAATTTAAATTCATAATTTCATAACTCAGAATTATAAAGAAAATGTCAGAATTGCAAGATGTAAACTCAGAATGTCAAGGGGGGAAAAAATAGTTCATAACTTACAATTGTGATATATGATCTCGCAATTGTGAGATAAAAAATGTGGCTGATTTTTTTCATTCTGTGGCTGAAACAAGCTTCAATAAGAATCACACACACTTAAATCTCTTTAGCTTTTGCTCTTCTTTTGTAAGTTGCTTTGGATAAAGCATCTGTTAAATGCATAAATGTAAACTTTTTAATGTGTTTCCACTGTTTCATCTGTTTATAAGCACTCAGTAATTCACACTGATTGCCATGCATCATATATGAGAGCCAATCATATATTGTAGCTCATATACAAGCATTATTATACACACAAATGGCCATTTAGTGCCTGTAAAATGTTTTATGAGTTTGCTCGCTGCTCACTGCTCCTTTCTTCCCCCATCACTCTTTCTCTGTGTGTTTATATGCAATCTACATAGACATTTCACCCAGTCTCAGATTCATATTAACAGTAAAAATATGTACACTGGCAGATCGGTGTTTCCGTAGAAACAGAAATACAATCGGAAGGAAAACAAACAAAACGCATTAAAATGACTGTTTGCATTTGTTTGTGTATGTTTTTTTGACTCTCAAAGCCGTGATTCCCATCCACTTCCATTATAAGACTGACAGACTGCAACGGTTTGAGTTAAAAATCTCCGTTTTTGTCCTACTGAAGAAACAAAGTCACCTACATCTTGGATGCCCTGGGGGTAAGCAGATAAACATCAGATTTTCATTTTTGGGTGAACTATCCCTTTAAATATTACAAACGATTTACTCTGAATATTAAACTGGGATACGAGGAAGTATTTTAACATCCAAATGACACACATCGGCTTTAAATAATGGCAGAACTCTGAGTGCATGCAGAATTTCAGAGGTCAAAGGTCAGCGGTGAGAAGGTGAAGGGTGAGAGGTGAGCATACCTGAAGCTGCTGATGGCTCTTCTGCTGACAGCAGCGCCACACATGTTGACAGGAGGAGGACGAGGAATCTCCTGCGGACAATCAACAACAAACACTTCAACAGTCATAAAACACTGGCACTGCGTACTGTGTAGTGTATGGCTGAATGATCTGGGGCGGAAAAAATTTAATTGCTATTTTTCAGCAATTTTCATTTACGATGCGGTTAAAAAGAAATTCCAGACATGCTGTGCTTGTTTGTAGGGCTGCACAACATTTTGTGATTATATATCAATATGGCTATTATATAATAATAATAACAATTATTATTATTATTATTATTATTGTAATTTTACAGTTGTATAATGTTAAATTATTATTATTATTACTAAATAAAAAATACTAAAAACAAAGAACTATTACTATTGTAAAATAAAAATGGATATTTAAAAAAAAAATAATAATAATAATAATTAATATTATTATTATTGTTAAAAGTATAAAAATAAAATAAAAACAAAAAAGAACTATTACTATTCTAATATTTCACTGTAAATGAAAAAAAATTAGTATTTAATAATAATAATATTTTTACATTACAACTGTAAAATTACAATAATAATATTTATGGCTGTTTAATTAGCTTCATTTTCAAATGTTAAACCATCAGACTTTTATTTTGATGGAAATCCACAGGGAGCCATGAAAGCTTATTTTTCCATATCGTGATTTTTTTTTTTAATTTGTAATTTGTTTTGATTAATCGTTTATCCCTAGAGCATAGAGTATACTATATACTGCATATCACATGCAATTCACAATTCAAACAAATACATATGCAGCATAGAGTATTAAATGTCTCAAGCTGACTGAAATATGTTGCATTTAATTTGGCAGGTTAATTCGTTTTTGCATATTTAATCCAATTTCTTGCTATTGTGCAAGTATAACATGTCTTTAAAATATTTGCAACTGGAGTCTGAAAAATAAGCTTTTCTCTTTGAATTAATTCTGATTGAATTAATTAATATCCAACACATTTTCTGACCCCATTAGCAGTTATTTTCTTGTTGTACTCACTTCATTTTGATCAATTTCTCAATAAACAAGACTACTTTATCATGATTTAACAATGTTTTTCACTTTTTGCAGCAAGACTGCTCGTTTTGCACATATAATGCAGAACTGGTTTTTGAAGGCACGTTATGACTGGAATTCCTGCCAAAATAAAGGCCTTCACACAAACCGCCGTCAGATGTTTACATGCTTTTCGATCTAAAATCTCAGATCGCTGCGACCTTCACACTGAACCGAAGGCATGCGCTCATGTACAGTAATGCCATGCATGATGCTTTCGTTGTTTTCCAGCGTGAATGGGAATCATCAGACATTCCTGGTGTACGTGAATCCCTCAGGCCTGAATTCCTGCTGGAAGCCTGTTCTCCAGTGACTCACTACAGGAACCCAGCATGTGCTCCTCAGATGTACAGAATCAACAGAGCACAGTCCAGAATCAAACAACAAACCCCTCGAGGCCGTGCAGTAAGAGATGCTCTTATAAAACACCCTTAATCACAGTAAAATCATGGTAAAACCTCATCCTAACCAAGAGCGATGTAACATGTTTCCAGCAATAAATACACTGAAAGAAATCAAAGCCAATCAGAATACATGAGAATTTGAACCAATGAGATTCCATTGTGGGCGGGGCTACAAACCAGAAACCTTAAAGTAACAGAGAACTACTTGTGCAACACTGAAAGACATAAAACTCATTAATACCGTATTGACCCGAATATAAGACGATGTTTTTATCAACGAAGAAACATCATCCTCTTACAGGACTGACAGTCGGTTATATAATCCTTCCAGAGAATGTGGAGTCAGAGAAACCATCATTCATCCTGACACAGTGTTGAGATACTTCCCTCATAAACCTTAAACCAGCGGCCCGAGGGAAGTCTATCTGGTAATCATATCTGACTAACACTAACCCCAAGAGATTTCATCCCCCACCTGATATATCCTGACACCAACAAAACCTTCAAGATACAATTCTGAGCACAACTTCAACCACAATCAAATGCACAAACAAACAAAAAAAGTCTCTTTTCTGCACTTTAACTCCTCAGCACCAAGTTTTGGTCATTTTTTATGATTAATTGCTTGTTATGTTTCTCATTTGTAAGCTACGTTGGATAAAAGCATCTGCCAGATGTTCTCAGAGGTCCATGACGCTCCTTCAAGGAAAACACATTATTTCAAGCAACATTACCTGCTGTTTTGGATTGGTCAGCCTGATCGGTTGGTCAAACTTATTTGCTTTCCCACAGTTCTCTCTGAGAGGACGCTCGAGAGCACGGTGTGACATTCCACGGCCGGAGAAAAGCAAACAAAAACACAAACAAAACACGGAGGAAGAAAGAAACAGAGAAGACCGAATCTAAACAAGAGTTTGTCTGAGCCCTTGTACGTTCCTGTGATGATTCACCGGACGTCATATTCCTCAACATCTGAGAAAATGCTTTTCATAACTCTGAACATGATGAAACAATCTCCATTTTCTGCGAAAAACGCTGGATTCATCCATCCACAAATTTCCAAACCTCATTAAAACAGGCTGTGAGTAAATCCTGAGATTTGCAGCGATGCCAGACCCTAAATTACTCTCACATCTGGCTACTGTGTAGTGAACAAAACTAGTTCTGAAGCAACGTTGGCTCGTTTAAATGACTGCTAGCAGTGTTGGGGGTAACACATTACAAGTCACGCAAGTTATGCAATCAAATTACTTTTTCAAGTAACTTGTAAGGCCATGCATTACTTTTTAATTTACAAGAAAATAACCGAGTTACTTTTTCAAATAAGTATCGCCAGTTACTTTGTTTTCTCATTTATTGACTGACAGCTCTCCTGTCCGCATGTTGAGAGAAATCGGATTGAATTTTTTTTTTATTGCTGAACTTTCTGCATCCTATTCATGCAATCCAGAATAGCAGCATAACTGAAAGGTTTGTTTGAGCTGCGCTCTCTACTGTACAGATGTGAATTTACATTTCACTTTTGGTGTGAAAGGGCTTTTACATTCGTCAAAAATAGAACTTTTTTATATTAAACAAACAAGCAAGCCCAGCCCAGATTTAAAAACTAACAAAGTAACGTAACACATTACGTTCCATAAAAAGTAACTAAGTAACGTAATTAGTTACTTTTTTAGGGAGTAACGCAATATTGTAATGCATTACTTTTAAAAGTAACTTTCCCCAACACTGAACAAGTGACTTCCAAATATAAACAATAGATTCAATTTATAAAACTAGATTCAGAAAGTTGCATCCACTTTTGCGGGTCATGAAAACTATAGCATTCAATAAACATTCTGGTTCCTCAGCAGCAATGATTTTTGACCAATGAATTTCTAGATTTGACAAATTCGACAGATTACTTTGGGTTCAAGCTAGGGCTTGGCGAATAACAATAATAATAATTCTAAGAGACTGAATTCAGCGAAGAACACAAATGACTCGTGATTTTAACTAGTTTAAAGCCAGATGAAACAGCGCTGACAAACAGCAGAGACACTGTGAGCTACGATACAGTCAGAAGACAACAAATCAGTCTACAAATCACCATCATTTACCATGAATTTACTGTAGTAAGTAACACTAACTGCATCATGGTATTGTGGCAGAAATGTGGGATATTTATATGAAACTGTTATATTATTAATGCAGACATGAATTAAATGAACTGAAGGAGTAATGGAATATTATTACAGTATTTTTTTGTGTGTAAGCTACACTGTAAAAAATGATTGCGACTTTAACAATAAAAGACTGTAAAAATGCTACAGTAAAAACCTGTTAATTGATTATCAGTAACTTTCCATACTATATACGGTGAATAACTGTATATACATTTAATGTAATTTTACAGTAAAATACTGTTAAAATTGCGGGTTTTTAGAAGTGGAAAAGAAAAAGTCATTGTATAATTTACAGTAAAAAAACGTAAATTGACACTCCCAGAATTCCCTGCATGACACTTCATATTTTATGTTTTTTCTTCGAAATAACTGTTTCTTCTTAGTTTTTTCTTATCAGTTGTGTACATTAGGGTTTTATCTTACATCTAATATTGTTAAATTAATGTTTACTGCATAATTTCAGTATCATGTGTGTTACCATGATAAGTGTTGAGTGTTTGTGTGAATGACACTGTGCACCTTCTATACATATATATATATATATATATATACACATATATATTAGTATTTCCCTTCTCAGCTTGTGGAGCTGTTTGTGATGAGCTTTGATTCATCATGTGACTTTCTCATCACCACCAGTTTTTGGTGGTTATCAGTGCATTACAATGGTTCAAAACAGATATTAGTACTTCAATATGCTGGTTTATTAGCATTACATCAGTTAATGAAATACGTTTTTTTATTGTGAATTTAAGTTAAGTCTGTAAAACCTAAAATGTTGCTACCATATTTTTTACGGTGAAGTTCTGGCAACCACAGCTGCCGGTATTTTACCGTAAATTTCACAGATTTTTTTTTTTTACAGTGTATAGTGTTTGTGCATTTATGCTAAATAGACTACTGTTTTTCACACAAATACCTAGAAACCATATAGTTATATTTTTACCATGGTATTGAGGTGCTTTATAACAATGGTTAATTTATGGAATAAAACTCAAACAGTCCGAATAATTACATTTCACCATGTAAAAATGAAGTTGTTACAATTTTTACAGATGTTAATGTTTTTGATAATGAACATAAATTTACATCTGCATCCTAACTCAAGCCACTCCTGTCAACTCAAGCTACTGTCAAATGTGCATTTCTAAGAGACAACAATTTAGTATTATTAATAATGCAGCCTGCACTGCAAACTGTGCTGAAGATACGCGTCATCAAAGTCAGGAACACAAACCGGTTTCATGATTTGAAACAATATCACTCATTATAATATGCAGAAACTAAGAAATTATTTTTTTCTATTAAGAGATTTATTTTGTTAAGGAAAAAATCACTGGAAAAGTGTAAAGAATTCAAAAACGTGACGTGTTTGTCATGTTCTGACCATAAAGAGTAGTTTACAACCACAGTTAATGTTCTGGTTTCTACAACTTTCACTTAGGAGCAAAAATCTGCCTTTAAACTTGAAAGAAATAAAGATTTTTAAAATTTATCGTAATATTGATCATTTTCAGTTGTCAGATTTAGGTTAAGGTTCCAACTCTTTTTGGCTGCTAGTTCTACAAATACTGTAACTGCCTATGTGACCCCAAATATAAACAATAGATTCAATATATAAAACTAGATTCAGAAAGTTGCATCCACTCTTGCAGGTCATTCTGGTTCAAACATTCTGGTTCCTCAAGATTTCAAAAATGTCCTGACCCTTATTGACCTGTAAGTATTTCATATTGCCTTTTTGACCTTAAATGTCCACAGCATTGGGAGACAGTTGATATTACAGCATGCCAGTAAGCAGTAAGCAACTACTGTGTCGTTTCACTTGCACTTGACCTCCGATTGTTCATCTACCTTCAATTCTAGCAACGCAAACGGCTTTAAAGCTTCACAAAACAGCAAGGAAGTCACTCAAAATCATCTTGACCAATCGGCTATTGGGGGTGTGGCTAATGCAGATGTCTCTGATTCACAGCACTTGCATAATTTACGCTCGTATCAGTCCATGCCAGAGCTAAAGCCGTGTTCTCAGCATACTTATGCAGATGCTCGCGTAGCCGAGATTGTTCGCTCACTGATCGGCTGCCAATATCTGAGCCTGTTGGCATTGGTTTCTCACACCTGCAGCCAGAGCATGACTTCATTACTAAAGCGCTGTTCTGTTGGTAACCCATAAAGACAGGGTTAGACTTAGACCTGGACCTTCTAAAAAAGACCTGTGTTTTGGATGCTAAGCTTCTTCTCTAAAAAGATGGACTTCTTTAATGACAGCAAGCTTATGCAGATTCACCAGCACCAACCCAGCCTGGGAATTCAAGCTGGTTTAGGTCCAATCATTTAACAAGGTGAAGAGCGATATGCACACAAAACAACATCAAAGGCACCGTCAAACTATCTACGCAACTATGAATCAAGAACAAGTGGTGCTAAAGTATCTGGGAACATCTCTGAGAAGTAAAGTGCAATGTTCCTGGAAAGTAAAGCAAAAAAATGTCTAGTTATGTAATAGAAAGCATGAAGAAAGCCACAAATAAAGACAATTCCATGGTCATTATCACAAAATAAATCCCATCAGCATGATACAAGACCCTCGTGAACACCCTGCTGGGTTTATTTTGCAATAATGACAGCATTACTCTTCTCTTCTACTGTACGTGTATGATGATATGGTGAATGCTAGTATATTGTACCCTCTAATGCTTCTGAATACATTGACTCTCTCCTCTGTCTCTCCGTGTTGGATGTGCAACGACACTAATGAACACATTAAACATGTGCATCAACGCTCATCTAACAAATGCAAACCATGCATGCAAAAGTAACTGCGGTAATGCCAAAAATAGTATCTATTATAAACGAATCCTTATGATTACATTGGGTTCGAGCTTATGAAAGTTTTTTAGTTGACAAATCAGGTCAAGGTTCCCACACTTTTTTGGTTCCAGGTTGGAGGATGTGCAACGATACTCAACGCTCATCTAACTAATGCAATCATGCATGAATAAGTGACTCTTGTAATGTGAAAAATAGTATTTATTAGTACTGAATCAAAGAGATTATTGGATTCAAGCTTACGAAACTCATTTTTAGTTGTCAAATCAGGTTCCTACACTTTTGAAAAATGCCTTTCCAAGAGTTTTTCCAATGAATTAGATACGAACAGACATAAACAATTATACTTAATAGTGTGCAACGACAGATTACATTGGGATGAAGCTTATAAAAGTAACTTTTAGTTGTCAAATCAGGTCAAGGTTCCCACACTTTTTGACCAATTAATTGGTTCCCGGTTGGAGGATGTGCAACGATACTCAACGCTCATCTAACTAATGCAATCATGCATGAATAAGTGACTCTTGTAATGTCAAGAATATTATTTAATATGACCGAATCCATCTGATTACTTTGGGTTCGAGCTCATGAAAGTCATTTGTAGTTGTCAAATCAGGTTTCCACACTTTTTAACCAATGAATTTCCAAGAGTTTTCCAGACATTCACGATTAGACTTGAAAAGACAAACAATTACACTTAATAGTGATCAAAACATCTCCAGAAAGACCCCCCACAGTTGTCGTCAATTAAATGTTTTGGAAATGTATATGCCTTTTAAATATTTCCATCACTTTTCTCAATTTGGCCCTTGATATTTCCAGGTTTTCTGTGACCAAAGCAACCTTGTCATGTAGAAACATCTTCTGAAAGGCAAAGTTCACCCCAAACTGATCACCATTCCAAATCTAAATGACTTACTCTCTTCCGCAAAAGACATTTTGAAGAACACTGGGTTTGAAGACATTCTTCAAAATATCTTCCTTTTTTCCACCGATGAAAAAGGCATACAGGTTTGGAACGACATGTCAATGATGTGGATTTGTAGGGATTTCATTGAGTCAGGAACGGCTGTCCAGATGTTAGAGGTCAATGCTCATCTCCATGAGGAATGTTGCCGCTGTTGTGTGTTGCTTTGGGGATGTCAACTAACAGCGCACAGTAAAACCATTCATATTTCAATCACTTCAGCCAAATCTACACTTTATGAAACCAGTTGCAAACATGCAAACAAATAAGCCAGTAAATCACAAAGCCTCCTCATCTGGTGCACATTTGGTTCTGAAGCAGTTGGAATTTAACCCCGGATCAACATATGGAAAATACAGCAGCAGACAGACTGAAAATCCCAATTGATTTGTGACCAGTATGAAGACTAAATCAATCTGGTGTTGGGGGTCACAGACTGAGATTGCGGGAAAACTATATTTAATAAGTTTGCACGAAACTCCAGCATTAATTTAGGAATGCATGTCTACTGTGCAGGAGCTCAATCACTTAGTTGATCAGATGAATGCACGCCAATAAATGAATTTTTTATCATCAATAATGCGCAAAAACTAGTGATTTTTTCCCTTAAAATGTTAGAAAGAACCTGAATGAAGCTTTGCACATCGGGTCTCCACAGAAGCCCCCCCGAGACTGAAAGTTACTCACGTTGTCGTTGTGGGAGAAACTTGTCCACTCCTTGTCCGTTGGGCTCCTAAATGCATTTGTATGCATTTGTCCAAGCAGCAGTTTTCAAAGCGAAAACAGAATTCCACCGCAGAAGACACCACCAGCTCATGAGACCAGATCCAGCCTGATCAGCAGCGTTCACATCACAGTCCGTCCAGACTCCGTCTCCGGGAGGACGTGCGCATGGAGAGCTTCACGGATCAGAGCTCGAACATCAAGCGCGCTGCTGGGAACTCGGGGCGATGACGGGTAACGGTGGGTTTACTGAGAGAGCAGATGAGCGCGAGAGAGAGAGAGAGTCGCTCCGGGCTCTGAGCTCCGCATGTGTCTGGACTTGCTCGGTTCGGCGCATCTCCAGCGCCGCGCGCTCGGTGTTGGGTTTCACTCATTACTACTGTGACGTCACCCATCCGACTCCGACCCGTCCGGTCATTTACATCCAGAACACTCTGGAACAGGTTTTGCTTTATGGTCAAATTCAGAATATCTAGCGAGAATAAAGTCGCAATGCAGTCAAATTAGTAGCACTATAGGCTGCCTCAGTAGTATTGATTCCTCTTAAAATATTGCATTGCAAATATTGATTATACCATCTGCGGATGTGTTCAGTCATCGTCTCTGGAAGGATTTGGAAAATTATACTGGGTGAAAATTTGATGTAGAATTAGTGACGTTTTATTTTAATATCAGTATAAATGTTTATTTTAAAGATCCCCCCAAAAACCTGCTATGTAAATAAATATTTGTATTATAGCTTACAGCTTAAGTATATTGGGTATAATGTCTGGGCGAACTAAATTTCTTACGTTGTATAAATGAAGACGAATTATGTTTTATTTGCTATTTAGGAAATCGTTTTCAGTACAGCTTTTTAAATAGGAGGACAGATACAGTATGGCTACTTGCAAATAAAACATCATTTTTATGGAGAAAGTGATTATCAAATAAAAATACGTGTTTTTTATTTGATAATCACTTACTGTTACCAATAAAATCAAATAATAATAACTGCACAAAAGTATTTTTTAATGACCATAACAAAATAATAATAATAAACCATAAGATCAATTTAGATCAATATAGTTTTTCAGTACAGCATTTTAAATTTGATGACAGATATTTGCAAATAAATTTATGGATGAAGTGATTATAAAATTAAAAAAAGAGTAATTTTTTTATTTGATAATTACTTTAATTAGACAAATAATATTATCAAGATATTAGTATTATTAACTGTAAAAAAATGAACTGTATTATTAACTGTAAATTATGAACTGTAATTATTATTTAATGACCTCAATGAATTATGCTGGTCATAATAACCATATCGAGACATATTTCACCATCCAATCAATTTGTCATGGATAAAGTCCTGCTCTATATGATTTCTCACTGAAAAACCTTGAACATCAGATGCTAAAGTCCTCAAGAGCTCTGACATTTGACCTTCTGTTTGACCTCACTGTAACCCTGAAAGGTACTGGATTTAGCCTGAACACAAAAATAACCCAACTACACCTTCACACACAACCACTGATTCACAGCATGATGAAAACCGGAATAAGGGGCCGTTCACACCAGACGTGTTCATGCATTCAAAAATAACTAGAAAAAAATACAAGTAGCCTATTTTAAGATGCATTTCTAAATGTTAAACTTGACAAAGCATTTCAAAAGCATGTATTTATAGACTAGTTTAAAAAAAGGTCTATAGAATGAGCATTCGTTATCAAATCATACACTGAATTAATCGGTGACGGAGTTTTTTGTGCCGACTGTCACAATCACTCTTGTGAAAACAGGATAATGGGTCTCAAACGAGTGTTTTAATTTCACCCAGCAAAATGACCCATTATCCCAGAGCAAACACGGGCCACTGAACCGCAGATCAGCAAACCTCATCATGTTGTGTTTGGGTTAAACGCCACTGCAGGTTAGTTCAAATCCCAGCTGGCGATTGTTCAATGTCCCAAAACGGCAGCAAAGCAAAAACGCAACACGAGTGTCTAAAACAGATTCAGTGCCTCATTCAAACCCTAAACCTTCCCGTATGGATCTCTGCTGGTGAGAGACGGGAAATCAGACTTCCTCCCGGGAGGAGCGTAATGGATGGAGCGCATGCAGGAGAGTGGACTGATGACAAACCCAGAATCCTCTGCACACACAACTTCGCCATTCAAAACCAGTGGCCGGATTCATGAAAATTTCCTAAAAAAGATCGAATAAATAAGAAAAATTTGGTGACAATGTGCTCACCCTCAAGCCATCCCAAATGCATTTGAGTTTGTTTCTTCATCAGATTTGGAGAAATGTAGCATTGCATCACTTGCTCACCAGTGGATGCTCTGCAGTGAATGGGTGCCGTCAGAATGAGAGTCCAAACAGCTGATAAAAACATCACAATAATCCACAAGTAATCCACAGCACTCCAGTCCATCAGTTAACATCTGGAGAAGACAAAAGCTGAAACAAATCCAGCATTAAGATGTTTTTAACTTCAAACCATTGCTTCTGGCTAAAATCAGGGTCCATAATCCATAATAACGCTTCCTCCAGTGAAAAAGTGTTCTTTTCTGAATCAGAAGAGAAATCTGCACAGATCAAACACCGTTTAAAACAGTCCAAAACAGCTCTAAACAAATATGTGGATGGATTTTGATGTGAGAGACAACAGGAGATGCACTTTTTTTTATTGTGATGTTTTTATCAGCTGTTTGGACTCTCATTCTGACGGCACCCATTCACTGCAGAGCATCCATTGCTGAGACACTGATGCAATGCTACATTTCTCCAAATCTGATGAAGAAACAAACATCTTAGATGGCCTGAGGGTGAGTAAAACTGTCAGCAAATTGTCAGTTTTGGGTGAAGTATTCCTTTAAAATTTGTTTTTGGAATACAAATGAAATGAGCAGTTACAGATAATTGTATTCTTACACTCTAAAAAATGCTGGGTTGTTTCAACCCAACCTTGGGTCAAATATGGACTAACCCAACTTTTGGGTTAAAACTTTAATTTAAAAATTTAGTCCATATTTGACCCAAGGTTGGGTTGAAATAACCCAGCATTTTTTAGAGTGTAAGAAAGAATTAGCCCTGCTGACTTAAACTGTTGGTAGGTCTACTAGCCTTGGCAATCTGGTTGTGATTGTCTGATTTATGGTTTTAGAGGGGCTCTTGTCAGCTGATCAGGCTAAAAAACAGCTTGACCGGGTGGTTAGACCAGCTAACCCACCTTAGGTTGGTTTTAGTTGTTTTTTGCAGAAGGGAAAACAGAGTTAAATCAAAAACACAATATATTACATCTACAGCTTCTGTTAATTTGATCATAGCAAAATAAATGTTAATGTACAGTTCTGTTGTTTTACAACTGGTTCCAATGAAGTGGTTGTTTCATATTTTTAATTGGTACATTAACTGGCTTATGTAAATGTTCATATGCTATAAACTAACATGCAGTGTGCTGGCATAAACGCCACATGTCGAGCTCCCATTAAAGCCAAACGCTGGTGGTCCCCATCAAACCTCATGGGAGCCGATAAGAGATCGAATGAGCTGGAATTCCGCTTCATTAATATTGCGGTTAATGTGATTAAATAGTTCTGTGTCTGTTTAAAGATCTGTGAGCAGCTACAGCTGTTAGCATTGCAAACAAACATTCAGCTCAGTTCTTCTTTAATTGGATAAATCACCCCAAAAACATGACTTACTTTCTTCTGCAAAGTACAAAAGGTTATATTTTCTGAAACACTCTACAAAATATCTTCTTTTGGGTTTTGCAGAAGAAAGAAATTCATACAGGAGCAACATGAGGGTGACTAAATGATGACAGAATGATGATTTGCTCATTTGTGGCATGGTGTCGATTACAAGCAAAAATGATGCTAAATGGTACAACAGCAATGCATGTGCAATGGGAGTAAACTGGACTAGCAGTCTAGAGGGTTTTGAAGTGAATTACTCAGTGAAAACTGTTTATGTTGTCTAATTCATCTCTTTAATTTTGCATTACCTCCTGTGGGTGGAATTGATGCCATGCAGACAGTATTTTGCATGTAGTTACTGTACATCACGTCACTTTCTGGTGTCCTTGTCCATTTAGGATGCAAAAGTTACAGGAATTGTAGTACAATTGCATATTTGCACAGCTGAATTTCTCCTGAATGGAGAAAAATGCATTTGCCTGCAAAATGGTGCAGTTACTGAGCAATGTAAATAAATCAATTATAGTCTATAGTACATTAAGCAAGTCAACATTGATTTAAACTAAAAAAGTCAACTAAATATCTCACATTTTATAAAGACGATCCTTTTAGGAAATATTTACCTTTTAGGAAATTGTTTTTCAGTACAGCATTTTAAATATAAAGACAGATATTTTCTAATAGAATCTAATTTTTATGAGTAAATTGATGATCATAAAAAGTCATTTTTGTTTGATAATCACTATAATTAGACAAATACTACAAATGCTGGGTTGTTTCAACCCAACTTTGGGTCAAATATGGACTAACCCAACTATTGGGTTACATTTTTTAATTAAATTTTTAAACCAAAAGTTGGGTTAGTCCATATTTGACCCAAAGTTGGGTTGAAACAACCCAGCATTTTTTAGAGTGTACTACTACTACTACTACTACTACTACTAATAATAATAATAATAATTATTATTATTATAAAAATTATTCATGGTAAAATTGTCTAATTAAAATGTTAGCAAATAAAAAAAATTTATAATGAAAAATTATCAATTCTTATTATTATTTCATTGTGGTTGATAAAGAAAATTATTTCTGTACAGTGATTATTATTATTATTATTTTGTTGTTGTTATTGTTGTACAAGTAATTATTCATTATTGGCCACAATTAAATACTCAAGTTAATATGAAATCAAAACTGGCCTGATTTACATATTGGTAAATGTTATTCCAAAATTAATATAAAATAAATAAAAATACATTTAAAATGATAACAATTTTTAAATATTATTATTACTACTACTACTACTACTACTATTATCAAGGGCATATGTTTGATTTTGACATTGGTGGGACAAACAGCAGACAATATTGTGGATATTTCAGGTTGCTTTGTACATTCAGTTTAACTTCAAAAAGTTAAAGAGTGTAAAGTTTATCATTCAGCTGATCTGTGCTCATATGTTTTAACACTTCATCTACTTTATATGTCCTTACTCTGTTCATGTATTAAATGTAT